AATTTTTCCCATTCCTTTCTATCTATTTATGTTTTATGCCTTAGTCTTGACCTTGCTCATGATAGAGCACTGGCTATGCACAGCCAAATGAGGATTTTTGAGGTTATTTATCCTTTCGGGAGTATCTAAACAGCCTACCCACGGTCTCTGTCCAACTTACCCCATCCCTCGTCCCTTGTCTCAGATTTCTCCACCTCATATTCCTTGGAAAAAGACCAGCAGAATTCTGAACAGATAATGCACGAAGGGACAAACTCTGCGATTTTAAATTAAAGATAATCAAAGGCCTACCGCAGTTATATTCGAGGTATGGGTGAACCCCAGAAATATTACAATTCTAGATCGATATTCCAGATGCAGTCACTGATAGATTTTTCCCTCCCTCTCAAATTTCTCAAATTTTACAGCTTCTTGAAGAACTGTCTTTGAAAAGAAATTTTTTTTTTCTTTAAGATCCATAAAGGATTACAATTTGTTCCAACAGAAATCAAATTTCAACTCACTCTTTCAAGCATTCCAAATCCATTTCTGGTATAGTTCGCAAAGTGGCATGTATGAGAGTGATGTGCTTTCGTACTTCCGAACTTTCATCCTCTCTGAAATATACTCCATCAAAGAATAAAGAGAAAATGATGAACTAGAAAAAATGAAGGGAAGAAAAAAATATGCATAATTTTTCAAAGAGAAATTTGGGTATTACGCGGGCCAGTGACAAAGAAAGTATTAAAAATTAAGGTCAAAAACTCCTCTTCCATTTTCATTCTCCGTGGGAGAGAGGCTCGAAATTAGCCCAAATGGTGGCAAGACAAGACAAAAATCCCCTTGTATCTGATATCAGGAAGCATTTGGGAAGAGGCTTATTTAACAGCAACTGTCAAAGACAAACATCTATTGGGGTAAGGCTGTCGATAAACTGTTTTCCCAAGGGTTGCTTAGAAACAAGCTGAAAGCAGATTTAATCCCCTGCCACATACTGGTATTAGTTCATCGCCGAAACGAATGAACGAATTGTAGATAGATTCGAAGTACGGAGTCGGCCTTTCACAGGCAGTTAACTAATTATTCCATTGAGAAACAAGAAAAAAATAAGAAACAAAAAAAAAAACTTACTTTTTAGGTATTGGCTGAAAAGGATCATAGCCTGGTGCTAAGAGGCTGACAGCCAAAAAACAGAAATCAGCTGCTGCATGTTGCTCACGGCGAGCAAGCACACAGCCCAGCTGATGCACTGTTCCAAGCGCCATTGGTGTGTTCAGATTGGCCAGTACAATTGCTGCGTGTGAGCGCCACGTACTTGCTTCATCCAGCGGAGGACTTGTCTAAAAAACAAAGAATCGAAACAAAAAAAAAGTTTATATCAATCCCAAAAATCGGTACACACGCGCAGCGCACACACAGACGTACACACACACACACACACACACACACACACACACACACAC